TAGGATGTGAGCTCGATGCCGTAAGGAATCGAGGTGATATTGAAGCCATATAGAGGGTGGGTAATGTATTAGTTAATAGTAAAAAAAATTTTTATGTATATAAAGCAGAAATGAAATAAATCGAAAATTTCTTTTTTAAAAAAATCGGGCGATACTTTTTGGGGGTACTGTACATGTAGTAACAGTAATAGATTTAATGCGTATTTTAATTATCACAAATGCCAAGACATACGATAAAATGTACTTATAGTAAATTTCGCAAGGAACGTTTTTTATTAGAACACAAAAGATGGTTTCATAGGCTAGATTTTGAGATACAAGCTTTTTTTAAAAAATATATCTTTTATTTTGAATTTTTGTGTTACACGTTGATTTTGCAATTTAATTGGTCATCATCGCTGACATCATTAAAAAATTATCACGTGGCCCGAACTTTTGGGGTTCAACCTACATGTATGAATTAAATAGTGTTACCATTTGCAAAAAAAATTTTGTAATTCCATAATTTTTATGATATCACAAATTATGGTGTATCATAATTTCATTCAATGATATTTATACATGTATTAATTTGATCTTTTATTTGACATTACACAACCAAATTCAATAATGTATAAACGTAAATTCGTGAATATCACTTCCTTTTTTATTAATAATTAAAAATAATTATCAATGAATTACATTCTTGCATACTTTACTTTTTATTTTCACTTTTCACTCTCAAATTAATCTTTTTGTTATTGGTATATTTTAGATTTTATCTCTAACAAGAATATGCTTAATTTAAATTTCATTATCTTTATCCAATCATATTCATCTTAATTTTATTTCTATTTTTAATACAATTAAATCTCTTTATAGTTATCACACTTGGAAAAACAAAATTTGATGACTATAAAAATAATGTGACTATAGAGTTTTTTTTTACTATATTATCTTTTCTTATGATTTATCTTATATTATTTAATTTTCTTTAAAATCTTTCTTTTACTATAATCTTATAATTTTTTATCTCTAATTACTAATATTATATTAATTTTTTATTTTTTATTGTTATATATAATGTTTTATTTATTTTCAGTCTTTGCTTTTTTTTAAGATTAATTAGCATTTTTTATAAATAATAAGATAATTTAGAATAGTTATTATTTATACAAATAGTACTCTAATCAGATTGAATTCAATCTATAATCTGATCAGTAATGCATATTTTGAATTAAATTGAATTAGAATTAAATTTGATTTGAAATAGTCTAAAAAGTGATACTTTTTATTTAATATTAATTGAAATTAAACAAAAATTTGTGAATATATACATAATTATATTTTGAATAACTTTACTTAGACACAAAATACAAGTATTTTAGTAAAAATAAAAATTATTATCAAAAATTATTTTATAATTTTGGGATCAAATCTGATCTAATCCAAAATTATCAGTTCTGGTTAATCTCAAATCTGATTTAATCTGATTCAAACAAAGCTTTATATATAAAAGAAAATTTTTTTATTACTAGAAACTGTGCTTTAGTTAAATTAGATTCAATTTATAATCTATAAATGCCAAGTGGAGTTTTCTCGGAATATAATGCTTTCTTTTGTTATTGTGAAGTCTTCGGTGTTTGCGATAGATTACAGTGTAATAACGATAACGCATAAAAAAATAAAAAGTATGACTGTACAAACTTGGATTATGGCCAATGGAAACTTGTCATATGAACAAAGTTACTAACGCTGAGTGATATGTTGGTATATACAACATAACTATAAAGATAACTCACTTTTATTCAAGTAATGTTTCTTGAGCGTTGCTTCTTTCGTACACATAAAGCATACGATTGTTACGAAGCACATGAAAATTAATTGCTCTATAATATAATACCTAATATGAATTGATTTAATTTTAAAGTTATATTTTTAATGACTTATATAAGCAAACTGAGAATGGTACGAAAAACACCAAGTTTAAAGATAACAAATAAACATTTCCAAATAAAAAAATGTGCACAAAACCACGACGTCTAAATTCTTCTTTTTTACACTCTTGCTAATTTCTTTCACAGAAAACTATATTTATGCTTCCACAAACATCGCCGTAATTCTACATGGCGGATCTGATCTACAAAAAGAAGGAACAACAAACGAATCCGCAGTAAAAGGAGCACGTGAAGGTTGCACACCACCAACATGTAATCTCGAACTAACAAATCCAAAAGATGAGACGGAAGCAGAATAAAAAATCTTTTACCTAAAGTTGCATCAAACAATGATTTTTTTCTCACACAAGGATATTTTGCGCAAAAAGCGACTCATGAAGTGGCGGATAAATATCCCGGAAAAAAGTTTGGGATAATTAATTTTGAGTTCACACCGCCTGTGAAGAATATCGCGAGTATTCTGTTTGCAGAAGATCAACAAGGGTTCGTTGCGGGTCTATTGGCTGCTGAAATCTCGAAGAAGAGGAATAAGAAAGTTGCTGGTAATGAGGAATTACATGCTCGTTATTATCAATTGATACTAAATTTTTATTTGAAAAAATTATAGTTGTCGGTGGTGCTAGTAAGTGAGCTTTTATCATATATTTTGAATATTTTGATATTTTGATTATTTGTATGCTATTATTTCATACTTCAGATATTCCACCAGTCAAAAGAAAGTTAACGGCTTTGCGAATGGAGTAAAACATGCTTGCGCTGATTGCACCGCATACTGTCTCTACAACAAATCTTTTGTGAATGAAAATAACGAATCACAAGATATCTTCAACTCAATATCAACTAACAAAGGCATCAACGTCGTATACAATGCGGCAAGCATAACCGGTACGACCACTCTTAAAAATCTAACTGCTAATGAGATTTACGGGATTGGCGATACAACTGACGAGGTATATTGTTCATGTTATCTCGTAACAAGATTAAATTATCATAATCAATATTGATATTTATAATACAGTAGATAACTAATTGGGCGTACGGTTCGGTTCCTGGCTCGGAAAATCTTCTAACTTCGATCGTACAAGATTATCAAGTAGTCGTTCGCGGAATGCTAAAAAACAATTTCGCAACTGGCGGTCTCATAAAACATGGCCTAAAACTAAACTCTGAGGACTCGGCAATCAAATTTGCTGATTGTCACGAGGCATGCGAAATAAATACGCCAAATCTAAAGAGAATATGCAAAATTACATTGGTAAAATTGCTAATCGACAAATTGACGTCGGGATTGATCATAAAAGCGGAAAATCGAAAATTTCTCCCGGAAGTTAGAAAATTTTGGAATTTTTGTCTTGGTCCCGCAATATTTTAATTACTATTTATTGGTTTAAAAGGTACCTCATGCACAATGTTGGAGATTAATAAGTCCTATTCATCGAAAGACGGTGTTGAAAATCATCGTCGTAGTGATCATGATAACATCGACCATGAAAGAAAAAGCGCGGTTGCAACTATTAGCTCTAGCTTTTCTATAACTCTTTTTTTAATTAATAGTGTCCTAATTTTATTTTGATATTGGATTAGAAGCTTTTTTTTTAATAAATACTTATATAACGATTTTATTGTAAGAACTACTAAACTATCGATATTTTTAATTATAACGATAACGATAATAACCCATAATCTGGAGCCAATTTTGAATATGAATATTCAAATTAAAGTTTATCAGGATTCTTGGCCATTAAATAACGATACCGATACATGTATTTTGTTAATGCATGTTGTTGAGCGTACTAGTTAATGATACCTGACGAAACTATTTTCATGATGACGAAACATTTCGTCACGTCATTCGTCAGACGAAACCCCTGACGA